ACCCATGGTACCTGCAGGGTCTGCCCCGTGACCTCCTCCTGCACCTAGCCTGGCACAGCAGTCAACCCACGGCACCTGCAGGGTCTGTCACGTGACCTCCTCCTGCACATAGCCTGGCACAGCAGTCAACTCATGGCACCTGCAGGGTCTGTCCCGTGACCTCCTCCTGCACCTAGCCTGGCACAGCAGTCAACCCATGGCACCTGCAGGGTCTGTCACGTGACCTCCTCCTGCACCTAGCCTGGCACAGCAGTCAACCCATGGCACCTGCAGGGTCTGTCCCGTGACCTCCACCTGCACCTAGCCTGGCACAGCAGTCAACCCATAGGCACCTGCAGGGTCTGTCCCCGTGACCTCCTCCTGCACCTAGCCTGGCACAGCAGTCAACCCAAGGCACCTGCAGGGTCTGTCACGTGACCTCCTCCTGCACCTAGCCTGGCACAGCAGTCAACCCACGGCACCTGCAGGGTCTGTCCCGTGACCTCCTCCTGCACATAGCCTGGCACAGCAGTCAACCCATGGCACCTGCAGGGTCTGTCACGTGACCTCCTCCTGCACCTAGCCTGGCACAGCAGTCAACCCATGGCACCTGCAGGGTCTGTCCCGTGACCTCCTCCTGCACCTAGCCTGGCACAGCAGTCAACCCATGGCACCTGCAGGGTCTGTCCCGTGACCTCCTCCTGCACCTAGCCTGGCACAGCAGTCAACCCATAGCAACCTGCAGGGTCTGTCCCGTGACCTCCTCCTGCACCTAGCCTGGCACAGCAGTCAACCCACGGCACCTGCAGGGTCTGTCCCCGTGACCTCCTCCTGCACCTAGCCTGGCACAGCAGTCAACCCATGGCACCTGCAGGGTCTGTCCCCGTGACCTCCTCCTGCACCTAGCCTGGCACAGCAGTCAACCCATGGTACCTGCAGGGTCTGCCCCGTGACCTCCTCCTGCACCTAGCCTGGCACAGCAGTCAACCCATGGTACCTGCAGGGTCTGCCCCGTGACCTCCTCCTGCACCTAGC